AACATATAATAAACCATCTAAAGTATGATTGTTGTCTGGCTATTTTATGAAACATATCAAGTAAATCTAAATATTCGAACTTTAAATATTGGCTTCTTGATACTTTTAAATTAATTAAAGTTGGAAGTATCAATGGACTAAATGTTAAATCTGATAAACATAATCATAGTAGCAAATCGACATATTATTCAGAACCATTAAATAATTTATAATCTTAATGAAAAAATAACATAAAACTAAAAGATGTAGGTTAAATTTGAAACCTAGGCTAAAAATGGATAAACGAGTATTGCAATTCATATCAAGTTGGAAGCAAGTTTGGAATTTTGGATATATAGTTTTCAGCAAATGAATTAGAACTATTAGGTACTGATGAATTTCCTGAACTTGATATAATTTCAATGGGCAAATTTATTTCTTTACGAAATGCTGGTGCTCAATAAAACTTAACCCAGCCACTAAATATTACAAATGAAACATCCAACCAAGAAACTGAACAAGGTTTAAAGAAAAATGATGGATGCCATTGTAATAAGCCAAATTGTCAAAGTAGGAGTTGTCTTGTTATAAGAACCATGCTCTTTGTACTTTTTGTTGTAGTTGTATTCACTGAGGTACATACAAAAATCATATAGCGCTTAACAGTTGTTTAATTTTCAACATGTGGATTTTGACAATCGCAATGGAAGTTAAATGCAATAATTAATTTTATTTGCATTGTAAATTTTTTTTAATCGATAAAACTATACCAATACCGATTAAAATATGAAGTACTTTAATTTACAATTTTGAAGCTACGTACATCAATTTTTAATTAACAGAAATTTGAAAGTGACATCTAATACATATATATGTATAAAAAGCATTATTATTTTTTTTTAATATTTAAGGTATATAAAAAGCGTTATTTATGTTTTCTTTTAATACAAATTAATTAAAAAAGATGCCTTATCCAGGATCACAAAAGTAAAGTCAATCTTTTATAAGCATATCCTCTATAAGTGCACTTTGTTGTGACTTCCCATGTTGATAAAAAATAATAGAACAATTTATGTTTTTCCCTTTATAAGTGCATATATATATCTATTACTGTGCTTATCGAAATTTAATACTTTTTTTTTATAAAATTCTGAAGATTATGTAGTTATTTAGCTTTAATTTGATATAACCAGTGTGATAAATTAATTTTAGTTTATTCATTTTTATTATTTTTATTATTTTATTTTATTTTTTTTTATTTTTATTGTTTTATTTTCTTTTGTATATAGTTTTTACCAATTCCATTTTGATAACAATTCCCGTATATTCAATTAACTATACTAAATAGGCAATTGATTGTGGCTTAGTGGCTTATCTCATGTAAACGCATAAACGCTTTAAAAAGCACGTATACGAGATTACACCAATTTGAAAATCCTGCGTCAAGAGCGTGAACGTTTAAAGAAAAGCGAATATACTTTGAAAAGGATGTATACATTCAAATTAAAATGAAATTGCTTGGAAAAGAGTGTAAATGTTCTGAAAAATTAAATGTATATAAGTTTCTTCGTTTTAATAAAGTTGGAATAAGTTCCATGTCCTTTATGATAGTAATTAAGTAGTAATGTAAAATACTTATCTCTTGAATTCAACTATAAAAACCTTTGAGACTTAATTCAATGGACCGAATTGACTAGTAACTTTGATCAACTTTATTAAGACTCGAATTTTTGTATAACTATCTTTTTACACTTTTGGAACTTGCTTACGTGATTTTGTATAGAAGTTCTCTTGCTTAAGAAAAGTTTTATTTGGAACTAAGTATTTCGCCCCCACCACCTTTGGCATCACTAGCATTAGCTGATTTTTAAAGATAGCCGCATTGAATTATAATTTATTTTTAGAGTAGTAAAAATCATCTTTAAATCATACTATTGTTTTAAATATCAATATCCGTTGATATCATCTTTAGATCAGTATTCATTTTATAGTTGTTTTTAAGATTAATTCACTTAAGTTTTATCTTTAATTCACAATCCCTTTCATTCAACATCTTTATCAATTAATCATAAAGCGCTCTTACTATTATCCATTAACCAATAACTTCTGTTATATCAATTCCAAATCATTTTAATTTATCATCTTCCTGTTTATATTTTTAGTTATTATCATTTTTAAGTTTATGTTATTTGATTGTATTATATTTATATAAACCCCAATTCCATAATCGATTGAAGTTCAAATTGGCACTATTTGTCTATAATCGCCTAGCTCTTCCAAACACAATCATTACATTTGGTGCCGATTGTGTAGAATTTATATAAACACCCTACTCTAATTAAATAAACAAATTAGTTAAAAAAAAATTCTAAAAGACCTTAATATTAAAGATTTATTTAACACTTATCGATTATTATGGCTCAGCGTAACCCTCTGAACCTGGTTAATCCACCCATAATTAATTCGCTGAAATGACCTGTTGCTGGTAATCTGGCTCCCCACCACAGCAGCCGGTTATTCCCTCTCAACTGCCTCAGCAACCTCAACTGCCCCAATAGTTGCAGCCACCGCAACCATTAAACCCTGTTGACAACTTAGCTGCACAAATTGGGCTATTAATTTTACAAATGCAAGCTGCTCTGCCCCACAGGTCAATTATAATCCTCCCAATTGAGAATTAAGTTTAGTTGCTTATCCTGACTTTATGAGTGGGAACCAGGACCCTATGACTTGGCTTGATGAGGTCAAAAAGGCTTTTGCTGCTAACTTAGTAACTAATGACTGCTGAATCTCAGTAATCATTCTCTACCTAAAGAGTACAGCAGCAACTTGGTGGGCAACCACACAGCGACCACCAAACTCTATCAATGCCTGGAATAACCCAGCCCACCCAAACATGAGTTTTCACCCTCATTTTATTATTAATTCAATACCCAGCTTTGGAAAAAAATTAGTTTGCCGAATTAGCTACTCATAAGCAGCAAGTAGAAGAAGACGTTGATACCTATTATACCACAATTCAAGAATTGCTTTATCAAATAGAGACTGGGGCTCAACTCTACCCAGAAACAGCTAAAGTCTAACTTTTCCTCAATGGGCTATGACCCAATATCATATTAGCTGTCACCCTATTTACTCCAAATATATTGCAGGCAGCCTATGATCGAGCTAAGGCTTATGAGGGTATCTGTAAACAAAATCTCTCATATCTATCGGCTCCTATTAGCGCTTTATATTCAACCTATATAACTATGAGCACCCCAACTAGTTTTTCTTCTCCATCTGCTACTTCTATAACCGCTTAGATAAATTAACAGAAGCCATTAATAAAATGCTGACTTAGCTTCAAGAACGACGTATACCTACTACAGAAAACTATAATAGGGTAGTCTGTTATAAGTGTGATAGAGCAGGACATATTAGTAGAAATTGCTGTTCACCTACCATGCCCAACCCTCCACCTAATATGCCTCAAAATTATGCCCAATAAATCAAACCTATAATCTCGGACCAACTTCTGTCTCCATAGTATACCCCGTGCTAATCTAAATCCTCAACATACCCACATATCTACTAGTTCTAATCCTATCTCTAATAATGATATTAACACCAATATGAGTAGTGCCCCGGAATTCCAGCCCCAAGAAGTGTTGCAAGCTTTACTAGCCACGGCAGCTAGCTTAAATTCTTCCCCATCTTAAAGTAATTTGGATAGTCAAGCCACAAGCAATAACCAAACTACTTTTCTTAATCCTTTTGAAGAAGACATACCCCTTTTTACTGTAAAGTCTCAACCTACGAAATGTCTTCAGGAGGAGGATAGTGATCTAGAATCAGGTGTAGAAGAATCATTAGAGTTGTTACTAGAAAAAGAAAGAGAAAAGAACAAAGACAAAGAAGAAAAGGATAAACTAGAAAAAAAAAATTAAATAAAGAAAAATTAACTTAAGCAAAGAAAAGGATGTGGTAACCCTTCCCAGGTCCCCTTGGTTAAGCCTAAATGAGTTCCCGTGATAATATGAAAGATTTCTGAGAAAGAAATGCCTCAAATTTCTTCCTTGGTCTCTTCGTATTCAGTTATAACCAATTTAAGAGATGAATCAGCTAATATTACTATAGGCCAACTCTTGCGAGCGATTCCGGCTATGCGTACAGAATTAATTCAGAGTCTTTATAAGAAAAAGATTTTCCCAAAATAAAAAGCAAGAGTCAATATTAGTATAGCCCCAGTAGTAAGTCTATGGCTTTGTATTGTGATGCCACTGTTCTTGGTGTAGAGGTCCCTATAATAGTTAACAGTAGGTCCTCCATTAGTGTTATTACCTCTCACCTCTTGTATAACCTCAGTATCAAGGTTGAATGACTCTCTACTATTAATATAGTAAACGTTTATAGCGAAAGTAAATGTACCCTCAGAGAAATCTCCAATTTTCCCTTTGCTGTTGCCGGAATAGATATTTCTATCGACGTGGTTATAACCAACACTAGTTCCTATCATGCTATCATTGGAAACGATTGGCTTTTTAAGGTCCAAGCCAAAATTAACTGGACTACTGCTAAAATGACTTTTACCTGGGGTTATCAAGAAATAATTGTCCCAGTAGAATTTAAAAGGTTGCCGCCTAAACCCTAAGTAAAAATTGCTCTAATAAAGTAAAAAGTCTAAATAAAAAAAAAGAAGAAGGATTAGATGAAGATTTAAGCAACAATGAATATAAAGATGAGGAATTGGAAGAGAGTGTTTATAATTACTCTGGGTTAGAAGAAGATAATTATCTTTTAAATTTATTGGAATCCTTGGGGTCTCAAAGTGTTGATAATATTAATTTTTCTAAAGACTCTAAAGAAACAATAATTTTAACTGATTTGCTTTTGAAGCAATCTTTTATACTATTATTTAAATCATTCTGTGAATTAAAAGCTCCTAGTTCTAGTTTATTTGATTCTTTAAAATCAATAGGGTCATGTCCAGTTTCTCCAGTTACATTCCGCTAACTCTTTTTTCTTCTTTAAAAGATAATATGTTGGTCTCCTTGAAAGAATTAAAATCATATGCATCCCAACTTAAAACCCATAAAGGTTGTCCTTCTAAAGATAATAAAAATTTAAATCTTAATAGTTCAACTATTTCTCTTGTTCCTTCTTCTTCTTTGGAAGTTGATAAAGATATTAATAATAGTAGTAATACCTAATTTATAAATATAGCTCCTGCTAAAATTGATGATAACATTTTACCTTTATCTATAACTCCTTCTGTGTTAACCCCTTTTGAAGAGTTAAGGCTTTATACGTTTCAACTTAAAGCCCAATTAGGATGTTCCCTTAATACTTCAGATAGTTTAGAAATTAAGTCTAATAACTCATCTATTCTAGCACTAGCTATATTGCTGGAAAAAGTCTTTATTAATATTTTACAACTCTTACCTTTAAATTATACCTATAGAGAACACTAGTCGAAATTTTTTTATATGATAGGACGATATGAAGGTGATATATAAAAAAATAACCAACCAAAAATCAGCTATAAGATATAAAACTGGTCGATAAAATCTTACAAATATTGGCCTACTGATATTATGATGATTAATAAAATATTAAATAGTAATCCAAAGAAAAGAAGATAGAATGGTAATACGATTAAACAATAAAAAATGATGAAAGATAAGTGACAGATAATATATATTAAAAGATGATAAAATAACGAAGTT